ATAGCTCAGCTCTGTGGAGTATCAGACGTGATGAGGACGGCTGTGTTTTATGCTCGCCTTGGCTGTTTGCTTTTTGTGCTTCTAGTCTGATGCCACCTTGTGCTTTCCTGGAGGGCAGCTCCTGCTTGCAGCATTCCTGCATCAATACACCTAGGAGAATACTTCTTGTGATGGTTTGATCTTATTTTCTGTCATCTGTACTACATAAGGCTTTGGTATATGACACTGGTTTCCAGTTATTTTATACATTAAATCATATGGGATACTGTGAATGAATTCTCTCACTCAGCTTAAAATACTTGGCTTTTCTTATTCAAGCAGAATCTTGTTATTATTTGTCCTGTCCTTGGTCGCAGTGAGTCACAACCCCGCAGAAGTTTCTGTCCAGTACACACCTACACCTTTTGGTCAGCCTTTAGATTTACCTTAATGGTATAAAACAGAAGTAAATTTCTCACCTTTGCAGCTCCAGCGCTCTGCTGCAGCACATCACTGCCCTGTTCGAGTGCAGCGTTGCAGCGATTGTTACGCTGCTCGTCAGTGACCCGGTTGGCTCCCTGCACATCCGATCCTGCAAGGTGAAGAAGCTTTCGGACTGGTACACGATGCTCTACAACCCGAGCCCCGATTACATCACCACAGTGCACTGCACCCATGAAGCCGTCTATCCCCTGTGAGTGGAAAGGTTTCTGTCCTCAGAGCTATTTCTTCCTTCTGTACATGTTTGTTTTTGCCCACGCCTCTTCTCAAAGTGGCAGAAATTGTTCCCATGTACCCAGCTTGGACCAATGAGTATCAGAACCCCTGAAGTCTTTTTGTGCATTGAGATGTTTTTTGTGTGAAACACCAATATTTAATGACTTTGTGAATCCAGTGTCTTTTCCCGTGTCTTCCTCTTGCTGCATCCTCAACATGCAGCAGAGAAGCTCAACAAATAAATATTTCAGGGAGCATTTTGTGATCTGTTCCTTCTTGCCACCAAAGAAGGTGACACAGTCTAGGACATGGAGCTACAAAGCATAAAATCTTCTTTTTTTTTTTCCCCATTTGCTGCATCTTGATGATTTCCCCTAGCTAAGTCAGTCCATCGTTGTGTGTCTCTGTGTCCCCCTCCTGTCACGTCCTTTGGTTGTAAATTCCGTAGCGTTGTCCCTACCTAACTCCAAATTTCCTGGTTCTGAGTTGTGTCTGTAGGATGAGCAAACTGCACATTTTGAAGAATTTCTTATTCTCATTCTGTTTTTTGCAGGTACACCATCGTGTTCATATATTACGCCTTCTGCCTTGTGCTCATGATGCTACTCCGCCCTCTGCTGGTGAAGAAGATTGCCTGTGGCTTAGGAAAGTCCGATCGATTTAAAAGCATTTACGCAGCACTTTACTTTTTCCCTGTCCTCACGGTGCTCCAGGCGGTTGGAGGAGGCCTGCTCTGTGAGTTCTGTCCTAATAATGCTAATAAATGTACCTATAAACACAGTAACAAATGGCTTAGGGGGGGGAGAGAAGGGACGTGACGCTTATTGCTTTGTGGATGAGGATTTTGTTCAGGTTTCTGCAGGTTGTGAGGAGCCTGAGCTAAAGAGGGGGCTGGTTAGTAGCCCTGTCCTAACCAGGCTCCGAGCAGCACTGCCTCCTCTTTGCTTGTGCTGCTAGAGGCTGCCCCTTTCCCAAAAAGGCACAGAGTCGGGTATGAGAGGAAGTTAATTCAGATAGTTAATTCAGCTTTCTGCATAGGTAGAGTACATCTGATTTCAGAAATTAATTCAAGTTTGGAGAGCTCAGCTGATCTTTGATTTAGCTTGAATTTGGGATCCTAACATAGAAGCATTGACTAGTTCTGTTTGGCTGAGCCTTCCTGCTTACACGTTTGACAGTAGCTGTGCTGTGGTAGCTTAGTGGCCTCCAGTCTCCCCTGAATGTATAATGATGCATTTTTCCTGATGATGTGTTTAACATTTGCCTTTAGATTACGCCTTCCCGTACATCATATTGGTGTTGTCCTTGGTTACATTGGCTGTGTACATGTCTGCTTCTGAAGTGGAGGTAGGTGAACATGTTTTCTGTATTGAAACTCATAACAAAATACTTGAATGAGCAGAGACTGCTCTCTTGCATTGTCTCAGCCGTGTTTTATGCATTGAAGCATCTTCCTTTATGACTTCCTCTTAGCTGGAGGAAGCTCCTGTGAGACTTCCCCCTTGTGGCCTACTGAGAAACTGTGCTATGTGCTGGAAAGGCTTCAATCCCTGAGGCTTTGTGCAGTGTCTCTGTGCGCTACCTATAACATGCCTTAAACATCAGTTACAGCGCGCTAACAGAAGGTTGTGTTCATTTTGCCAGTCTTTCAAGGACCTTCTCGTCAGGAAGAAAAGGCTGGTTGTCCTCGTCAGCCACTGGCTGCTCCACGCCTACGGCATCATCTCCATTTCCAAACTGGACAAGCTCGAGCAGGACCTGCCGCTGCTTGCCCTCGTCCCTGCACCTGCCCTCTTCTACGTGCTGACAGCCAAGTACACGGAGCCCTCACGCATACTCTCAGAGGGAGGGAATGGACATTAGGAAGATCCTTTGCCAACAGCGCTGTGCTACAACGACCTGGAGTAAGCAAGTGTAGTGCTTGGTACGCATTTGAAAACTTCTGGTTTAGAAGCCACTTCGTACACTTCTGGTTTGTGTACGGGACTTCTGGGTGAAACATTTCTGAGACTGTATAATATTGAAAAGCTGCACTTTGTATTCTTCACAAACATCTAGTATAGATCAAAGGGAATGTCTGTATTTATTGCTGTGAATTTGCATAAAAAGCTTCTGACATATTCTAGTACAGAGTTTTGCTTGTATATGTTTATTTCCTATTACAATATTTTAGGTGGTGTTTAGAAGAACAATAGTTTATTTTTCAATAGAGTTTCAATGAAACAGAGCTCAGATAAAACGTGGAACGCTTGTACATCGAACAACAGAGCTTGAATGAAACAGAGCACTTGGTTTTCTCATCATGCATTCTAGCTTCTATCTTCCATGAGGGGAAAGAGACTTTCAGATAGCTGAAGATAAGCACTGGAATTATGCTCAAGATGTGTTTTTTATGATGGAAGCATCTCCTGATTTCTTCCCTGCACTTTATTCTGACTTCTAGGAGAAAGAAGACAAAAAGCACTGTGAAGTTCTCTATAGTTTATGTTCTGTGTACTGGTTCAGGTATGGAGACCTCCTCTGTAAACGATTAAATAGTAGAATTTCTCCCACTAACGCCCTTTTCTTATATCCTGGCTATAAGTTCCCATCTAGGATCAGGTTAAAGACTTTCTTTTCCTAGCTGTTTACACCTGTTGTCAGCAAAGCGCTTGCTGCAGGTAAGGCTGTGAGCCAGGGTAACTACAAATGGATGGAGCCTTCTCCACATCTTTTACAAGATACCTTAACTTCCCCTTATGAGAATGCTTCATGCCTGTTAATCCGTTTATTGTCTATGTATGTTGTATGGGAATACACCCAAAGCACACTTACAGTAATTTAATCACAGAACACTTAGTGCTGTAGTGGGCCCAGAAGGACTGAATGTTGAAGGAAGAGTTCTAGGCAGATTTTCTCAACAACAATTTGTTGGCAGCAGTAGCAGAAAGAGTGCATCTTTCCATGCTTAACTGTGGCAGAAATGCCTTTTCTGGTCGATTACCTACCGACACTGCTGAGGCTGATCCACCCCTAAGCCACCCCCTGGTGGCTCAGTGGAAAGGGACAGAGCCTGCCGAGAGCTCAGGGGTTCTGTGGGTGCTATCAAGGCTTCCTCAAGGTGGCGCGCTGCTCTATTCAACAACCTTTCTCCATAGGTTTAATTTCTTACATCTGATACACATTTCCTGATAACTTTGCTCTGTGCATTGCCAGTTGACAGGTTTGCTGCTTCTAAAAATAGCGTGCAAACAAACCACAGCTTTTATGCAGAAGTAAGGGATTACTTAGGGATTAAGGAAATAACTGATCTCCTTAAGGAAATCAAATTCTATCTATGCTGCTACATAGAAAATGCAGTTTGCAGCCATGTAAACATAGAGGAAAGAACTAAAACTATGTTCTTAAAGTCCATGTGTTAAGATACCGGGTACATAACTGACAGATTCAAAGGTGTGTTTTTCTTTAAAGTGTCCTGAAGACAGTTTTGTGTCTAGTTTTGTGTGGTTACCCCATCAGTACATACACAGAAGGCGTGTGAGCAGCCAGTGCAGGAAAAGCTTTCTGCAGAGGTGCAGTCCTGAGGACTGTATGCTTCTATGTGCGTTTCCACATACAGACTACATATGTTAGGTTTAAAAGTTGGGCCATATATTTTTAAAAAGAAAAGTAATTATGACTCCAAGGTAACATTAGCTGTACTAATGAGTACATCTTTTGGTCAGGCTAGAGAATTGTGTACTAATTTTAAAGCCTGGAGAATCAGGGACTTATTAAAAGCAGAGTTTATAGGAAGCCTGTGAACCATGCACGGCATTACCAAGCACTGACCTTCCTTCTGGCCTCAGGGGTTTTAGCCTTCAGCAAAACCTGGAATGTAAAATGCAAATTAAAAGCTTTTTTTTTTAATCCTCTTCTCTCACTATAAGAAAATTAATGACAGTCAAGGAGTTCAACAGATGCCGCTAAATAAATACTTGCAGTTTTTAATGATCAAGCAATGTTTCTGTAGGCTCCTTATGAAGAAGCCTGCCCTGCACGTTTCACCCACAAAATACTGACATTGGCCTTCAGATGAACCGGGGGACTCCTATTATATGTTTACCATCCTCCCTGCTCTGCCTGGCTTCCTTCCAGGGAGATTCCCTTCCTCTATAAATTCCCCCCTTCCTGGCTTCCTGTCATATAACCCAGACCCAATTACTTCAAAGCATCCTGAGTGCTGCAGTCCTTCCGATTTACAACATTCAGTACCAAGGCAATGTCATACAGTGACAAACCTGTGACTCATTACAAACGAGGCCTCTATGAACCAACAAGGAGAGCAGAAATCTACAGGATTCAAGTTAAAATGAGGACCTGAAGCAAGCAATTTGGTGTGTATGCATCTAGGGCCCCAGTGTAATAACACCACCGCACACCTCTACTATACTGCAGTATAGAATGGCATGCATTTAAATGGAAACAGCAGTACAAATTGCCCACAGGTAAAATTCTAGACAACACAAACATTAATTAACCATGTATTCCTACAGTGGTAACCACACAACAACAAGCTGCAGGAGTTCGAGTTTGTTAGTTTTATTTATCCTTTGTGGAAAAGCAAACATGTAATTCCGGAAAGACCAGTGATGCTCAGACAATTTTACAGCCCCCTCACTGTGGTTATCACAAGCCTTTAGAAAGAGGAAATTAAAGTTAATATCCAGGCTGTGTGATAAAGCATGGCAAGTTCTTCTAACAAAAAAAAAATGCACTAACTGTTCCACTAAATCTGAATCTACAGCAGAGTGAGCTGATTTAACACAGCTGTATTACTTGTATTTTGTCACAGGCTACTAAGAATTAAAATATTTAACAGAACTCCTCTGGGACTGAAAACAAATTAGGGGAAAAAGTTTGGTGTATCTTACAGTGCTCATCCATTCTAGATTTTTTTTCAAACAGAGAATCCAGTCCTTCCAGGTTATTTTGTAGCCTGCTATTAATATCACCAATCTTCTCCTCTCGATGTTGAATTTTCGTTGCTAGGGCTGTCACTGCATTCAGAATTTCCTGCTCGTTCTCCAGAAATTCCTGTAATGACATGGGATAAAACTCCTTTTTTCTCAAAGTGAAAAAACAACAACAGAAACAACAAACAAAAGCACAAACTACAGCATGCTGAGAAAGTTATGTTATCTTGTTTTCTCACAGCTTGACTAGCCACCAGACCACCATTTTCAAAGGAAAGTTTACAATAATGATCCAATCCTGAAGGAAAGGAGGAAGGACAGAAGGGAGGAAAGGAGGAAAGTTTGCCTTTCTAATGGAAGAACTTGTGAAAAACTTCCTTACATGATAGTTTGGTTTAGTTCCTGTTGGAAATTTTCAATTGCCAAATTTCAAGGCCATTTCCAACTGGAAAAACATTACAAGGTTGTTGATCAGCAGGTAGAAGCAAGAATGCTAGCAGATACAGGGAGACTGCACAGTTTAAGAAAGGATCAAAAAGACAAGCAAAAAGGAACAGTATCAGGAAAATATATACATATTGTGTTAGAAACCATGGGTTTAATACTTTTCCCCCTATGAGTTCAAAAATTGCAGTGCCCTATTTGCAACATGAAATCATTTTTACATCACAAGTGAAACATATTTATGCAAAATAGCGTGATAGAAAATTGAAATTCACCTTTTGAATAGAGCTGTCTTCTGACCATGCCTTCAGAAGAAGATCTACAACAGAGTCAACAGTTAAACTACGGTAAGACACAAAGACTTAAAGATATTATTTAAAAATATTACTTTTTGTTTTGACATAGTTATTAACACATTACCACGAAGCACTGCTAGGTCATTCAGAATTTTGACTGTTGCTGACTTGTGGTTTTCTGCTTCAGAATTCATTGCAAAAATATCTTCTTTCATCTGCAGATTGTACTGTAAAAAAATAATTACAACTGAGTACTTGCCACAGTTTCCAACTTTTCTAAATAACTTCCAATCAGTTTCACTGTTTCTAAAGAGGCCAGCAAGAATAAGCTGATGTTTAACTTACAGAAATACAAAGGCTAATGTATTCCTCTGGACATGCTTTCTTTCAACAATAGCATCCATTTCATCTTGTTGATTAAATTTTAACAGTTGTCAAAATCACTACAAGCCAGCTATGTCTATGCTACCAAGTGAAATAGGCTATGATGCTGAAAACAGACAGAACAGCACAGGTCACATCCAAACTGGGACTCTTTCTTCCTTTCTTCCCCAAAATCAGGTGGACTCATTCACATTGGATCAATACTGGCACTCAGCTTGCGCTGTCCCAAGTTTGGCTGAAATGTGTTAGCCCAGGTCAGACACAACAAACAGCACTTCCTGGTGCGGTACAGGCATCAGAAAAACCTCAGCTTCTGTTAGCGAACAGAACATAAGGAGAGGGAGATTTGTAGCATAACCAGGGGGTCTGAGTGAAGCCTTTTAGTCCAGGAGGATATAATCGGAGCCACAGAGTTGCTGGTACCCAACATCTGCAGTGCTAGCATGCACAGATTCACTACTGGCAGCAGTAGAGCTCTCTGCTTGCAGGCACCAAACAGTGCACAGGGTTTACCTCATCTCAGAAATTCAGTCCACATGGCTGTGCAAATGTGGGTTCAAGTTTCGACGGCAGCCTGAAAACAGCTGGCAATAAGACCACTTTTACAATCCTTCCTGTATTTTATGGGGAAGGAGATTGTACTACTCTGAGAGCCCAGGGTCTGAAAGGTATACAAAATACTTTCAAAAGCATGTATTCCAAACAAAACAGGCCTATTCTACATCTCACTTTCACCTCATGTGGCAGGAAGGCTTTTTCCTACAATCCCTGGCTGAAGGCAGCAGATATGTGATATTGATTACGCCTTAGGCAGATGCCTTGCACTTGGATATTCCTCTTTGTTTCCCTCCCAAGTAAACACAGATCTACGCATTCCTTTACAAGACAAAGTTTGCCCTGTGGTTTTTGTGTTTCATCATCTTCCGTGGATAGTTCTCTGTGAAATAAAAATTGAACAGAGAACTTCATATTGGGAATGAACACTGTTAAGCTTCAATATACTCACTAATTTGAATCTGCAGTTCTCCGTGTTCACAATGTCAAGTTTTCTATTGATCTCATAGATGTCTCTTTCCAGCAACTTCATACTCTCTGTGTGATTCTTCAGCTGACTAACTGCAGCATCACGTGTGATCCGCAGCTTATTTCTTAGCTCCAGCTGCAAATAACAAAATCTTCACTGCTACCTGACCTTTATACAGGATTTTTGTACTTAAAGTGAAAAGAGTTTTTACTACATGGTACTTTTCATTTAAAATTTTCAAAGTAGCATCTGAGATAGGAATCTGTACTCTCTAACCAACAAGGAGGAAGAGACACAGAGAGGGCAAGCGACAGCTCATGGTCCACAAGAAAGGAACTGGCTCGGACACAGCCCTAGACAAGTGGCCCTGCTACACACTGAGACTGTGCATGCGCTGTAAAAATGGGCAGTGAGGGCTCTGCAGGTCTGAAATGCACTGTGGTACTGTGCTCAGACTCATCAGCTGTACAGCTCTGAAGGTGGCTGACAGGCAGATTCACTGTGCAAGCTTTGTGGGGACACTGTCTGGGGACAGAGCCACCATGCCTCAGACATTTTGAGCTGTATGCAACTACCCCCACAACAACAGAAGTTTCTCTTTCCTTACACTGGTGCTGCTTGAATGCCTGAAGCCAGAAACAAGGATAGGTAAAGAGGCAACGATACAGGAAGATTTCTCAAATATGAGTTACTGAAGTGGTGAAAAGTCCTGCCCCAGCAGTGGGCAAGCATCTGAATAGAAGCAAGGTCACAAATGGTCTTAGCTCAACAGCTTCTTTTTGGCCTGTTCATGTGCCTAGGGAATGCAAACTCAAGCTTAAAGCCAGCATGGTACAAATGCTGGGCCACACGCTGAGCTGAGGTCTGAGGCATCCACCAGATAGGAACAGGGCAAGACAAAGGAAGGCACAGCCCCAGCCTGTCTTCCCATCTCCATGGGTGCCTGTTTTTTATTGTGATTAAAAAAACTGCTGGTGGAAATTTTACAGAATTAGTAGTTAAGTTTTAAGCTGTTACCATGTCCTCCTTGAGCTTCCTAGTAGTCTTGATTGACTGCTGAATGGCTCTTTTGATTCTTACCTCTTCATCTTTCTTTTCTACAAAGCAGGGAAAGGGTTTTTAAGACAGAATAATGACTGAACATTAAAGTTAAACTGTTATAAAGAAAACTAGGTTCTATCAGTGAGTGAGTTGTTTGACAGGTCTGGCATTTCAAAATACTTCATTTTTACGTTATAGCCATATCTATGGATTCTAATTGTTGCCAGGAGCTCGGTTTGTACTTGTTTCATAGTTCACTTGAGCTACAGGCAGACAAAGGGGTATGACATGCTGTTTTCAGAAATATCAAGAGAAAACCCAGCCATGTAGAGGAGCTACTTAACACTTACCTGAAAACAATTTATTCAGTTCTTCATATTTTGTATACTTCTCTTCTTTTTCTTTCTGGGTTTCTTCCAAGGTTAGCCTGCTTACGTTTAATTCTTGTTCTTTTTTAAGCAGATTTTCAGTTGCAGTTTTGATGTCATTCTTTAATGAAACTAAATATTAATCAATAATCTTTCTAAGCAGCATTTAATGCATAAATAATTCAATGTAACCAAGGGGAAAAAAACACAGAGAAAGGAATACTGGAAGTGATCCCAAGAGGTCATCTTAGTCCATCTCTCTGCTCTACAGCAGAATCAATTAGACCTAAGTACCTATGACAGATGTTTGACTTGTCCTTAAAAACCCTGGTGGAAGAGATATCGAGCCTCAGACAATTGATTCCAGGATTTTGCAATTTGTGCTGTCAGTGTTTTCTTAGGCCCTAATTTTTTCTTTAGTTAAATCTGCTCTGTTGCCTGCTATTTGTCTCAACAAGTGGACAAGGAGAAGTTTGTCATCTTGCTATCAGTTTTTATTTATTTGGCAGCTACCGTCTTATCTTAGATTAATTTATTTTGAATGGAAAAACTGCACACTTTTTCAACTTTTTTTTTTTTTTTATTTTTTCCCCTGATCATCTTTATTAACTCCCCTTGGATCTCCAAGTAATCTATGTCCTCCTTTAAATTAGGTGATCAATACCAGATGATGTGTTCCACGCGTGTCCTACCAAAACTGGCTGGAGCTGCAAACTTTCATTATATGCCATGCCAGTCTATATGCCACTTCGTAGAGACCAGTTTGATATTTCTCTTTTTCATTACTACACATCTGTGCTGATTTACGTTCAACTTGTCAGCCTTAGTCCTATTTATCACTGCTAGGCTTGAAGACCTCCCCAGTGATGAATTTGTACAGAACTGTTTCCACCTAAACATACAAACGCACATTTTTTTTATCATAACTTTTTCCTCTTTGCCTTCTTTTTATTGCCCTACATTACTTCCTTGATTTGCTAAAATAATTCTGAATTCTAGTTCTGTCCTGCAGAGGGTGCTCCCACTCTTATCGAGTCTGTCCTCTGCAGATGCGATAAGCATTCTCTCGGCCCTATCACCTGAGTCATTAAGGAAAATAGAGATTAATTCAAATCTGAGAGAAAACTCCCTCAAACTAACTGAGACCATTATTCTGTTTGGTCAGTAACTGGTGGGTAACTATTATCTAGGATGATTTTTCCAACCGCTTTTGTACCCAGCATTCTTCAGCCCTGAGAAGTGACAACTGGGGGGACGTACAATGAAAGGTGTGTAAAATCACGTCTTTGCTGGAGAAGATGAGAAGACAGCAGCTATTCACTGCTTCTCACAACATAAAACTGCAAGATGATGATAAACGTTTAAGACGGCAGGTTTAAAACTGAAAAGTTTTTTTATTATTAAACAAATTATACGTTGTTGTGGAGGATAAATGTATACGTGAGCTAAAATTATCAATCAGTGACAGACGAATATTACCCTGACGATCGAGCATAGCATAAAATCCCATCAAAAGCTATTAAATGCAGATACCATCTCCATCCGAAGAAGTTCCTGACACTTCATTTGTCATAGAGATACTATGGAAGAAGGGCTGTTCTATATTTGACTGTTCTTACATTACTTTTCCAAGCAGCACTATTGTTCACTGCAGAAGACAGTAGGATCAATGTTGTGTGTTACCCAGCATGGCTATTCTGGGAACTGAAGATAATTTGAGCTTCACCTGTTCTTGATGTGCATTTAGATCATGAACAGCACTGAAATGGCTTCAGCAACTTACATGTAACTGCCTGAAAGTGAATTTTGTCAGACTTGGATGATCTGAACACATCTGAGTTCTCTTGGTACACTTGCTAACTGGTTCCTTCCCTATCCTAGCCTGTGGCATTACCTTTCTGATACTAGCATTATTTACATTAAATGACATTGGTTATACTAGGCAATTGATTCTGCTAACCCATAAATGAAGCAAAACAAATGCAACTTTTTTTTTTCCTTTTACCGCCAATATGGAGTGCTTTCATGTTATTTCACATGTGCTTTCCTGGCAGCATTTAATTCTGCAGCTTAACATATCTCATGTTGCTTCATGCACAACCATAAGCCTATTTTTTTAATCATATTAATATTTGCTAAAGATAAATGTAATGATGATGCTCCTGAATCTGAGGCATCTGTATATGGGCATCTCTTGGCATAGTGGAATCTCATCGTGGTTAGGGCAAAAGGAATGCAAGTCAGGAGTTGAGTTACTTTTCAGTAGAAAAATACATCTATTCTCTTTTGCTGGAATAGGTATAAACAAGGAAAGGGAGAACAGGAACATCCTATACAGACAGAAAGACTTGGAGAACGATGTTAAGAGAAAGACAAGATGATACATGAGAAATAAAGCCATACTAGAAATTAAATTGGGCCCAGGATGTGAAATAACATCAGGACACTGAACTTTTCTTTTTTATTAACACGACATTCATGTCAAATGCTGCACTACATGTTTTTGGTCCCTGTGAGACTCTGAAGTCAGGAAAATCATATCCAGTTGTGTGATCAAAGAGTAGAAATATCAGAAAAATCTCAAAGTATAGATGTTTAGATATAAGTTTTGTTGTTGTTTTGTTGTTGTTGTTTTTTAATGGACTGTAGCAGAAGGATGGATAAAAAGAATAAAAAAAAAAAAAAGAAAGTACGGAGGAGAACAGACAAAATGGAAATGGCACCCTTAGAGTATTAAGAAGGCAGAGAAAGAAAGGTGATCTAAGCCTCATTTCTACAGAGTACTTTGACACCATGCATCACCATGATGCTCCTGACAGAGCAGAATAAATCAGCATAGGATCTGTCATTACTCTTATAGTGGAAATTATTCCCCTTACACAGGCTGCCTCCATGAAACAACAGTCAAACAATCATTTTACAAGTGCAAGAAAATGCTGAAAGCATTTATAAAGGAATTTATTCCCCAAAAGGAAAATATAGAAGAAAACAAAGCAGCTACAATTGTTTCATCAAAATGGTAGGAAATGAAAACATAGCAGAAAAAAAAAAGTTTAAAAAAGGAGAAAATGGTAGAGCGTATCATTGAATGAAAATAATAGTTACAATTATTCCAAACCTGCTTTATCCAGGCCAGGAAGGAAAGGGCAACCCTCTGATAATGTTTTCCTCAACACTGTATTAGATGTAGGAAAAACTCTTTTAGTGTGGATTATATTAAAGAAAAGACAGAATGGGAGTCAATGTATTTAGCAATGACTTTGTATATCCTGAATAGTTCAACTGCCAGAAAGAGTGGGAGAATGAATCTGGCACAACTATTTACTTATCAGTGACAATCTCAGGCCTGTTTTTTAGGAAAGCTTCAGTAACAACATGGCCCGAACTGTCTTGGGTGATGTCGAATCATAACCTCTCCACCAGATAAACAACGAAAATCCCCAAGGCCTTCTCTAAATATACCTTTGTCACGTAAGATATATAAATACTTCCTACATTCCTGGCATCAGGTTTATCCTATTTCAAATCACACTGTTGACCAGGAGTCAGACAGTTTCCCTGGGGACAGAGCATATGCTGCATAGCAAAGATCGGAGAAGCACTTGAAATTTCTGAAAGCTCTGCATAGTTCATGTTCAGCATTTCCATGCCCTACTTTCTTGGGAAAGAAAGCTCATCAGTGTTTTAAAGAAGACCAACAGTAAGTAGCCTTGGGTTATGTATCGCACACCACCAATCACTCCAAGAGATTTACAATAACAATAATTCAGAGTAGAATTTGAACAAATGTCTCAAACCAAGCTGTCGTATTTCCATGAATGTTAGCCTGTTTACCAAAAAATGACAGAACAAATTCTACATTAACAACTTACACATCGGGTAGCTCACAATAAAGCTAAACTGGATGCATTTTATGACTGAATTGGTCCTGCACATATATTTATTTCAAAATGGGAAGCAACCTTTCTGAGAAGAATATTCAGTGCATGGCATTCTATTGAGACTGGCGCTCATATTGTGCACGAATACATACATATGGATGTGTGCTGCTTCCAGGGTCTCAATAATCTGAGGGTCTCATCGTAAGTGCTTTTGAGCATTAAATAAACAATCAAAAAATTCCTAACAACAACAAACAAAGAAAAATAAAGAAATTTCTTGAAACAGTTACTGACAGATGGGTCACATTGGAGCATAGCTATTGGAGCTACACTCCAACGTGGTACACCAAACACTGATAATTCATCCACCAGAAATCTTTCCAAGGTTAATTAAAAAAAAAAATAAAAATAAGGCAAAACTAGCAAAGCTTACCTCCAGACATTTCATTTTGTTAATGAAATCTTCATTATAATTCCTGTAATCATTTTCCCTCTTATTTGCTTCTTCACTCAGTGCTTTGATTCGGTTTTCAGACTGAAGAATTTCTTTCTCAAGGTCTTCAGTCTTGTAATGGAAAACAAAACAAAGGTGAGTAATTTCTAAAATACATAGTGTCTACCTGGACCGCTAGGAAATAAGCAATCAGAACAAGAAAAGAGCAGTCTGCATTTAAAGCACAATATCTGCTGAGATAAATAATTGCTTTTGAATTGTTATTAATTGGAGTTAAGATCAAATCACAGAATGGTTGGGGTTGGAAGGCACCTCTGGTGGTCATTTTGTCCAGCCTCCCTGCTCATGCAGGGCCACCTGAAGCCAGTTGCCTAGCACTATGTCCAGACCTGTCTTTAGATATCAAAGATCATTAGACCTGATATCATGTTTAATAGCTTACAATGACCTTTAGAGGCTACTTACTTCAGTACCAGTTTACTCCGAATGTACAGCATGAACTTACTATATCACTGAACGTCATGGGTTATATCATCTGCTGTTTAACATACCTTCAGAAGTAGTTCAGCATGCCTTTTTCTAAGAGCCTCTATCCTTTCACTCGCTTCTCTGCTTATGTTCTCCTCCTCTGAGAAAAAGAGTTTTCTCTGCTTTTTTAAGTACAGTAGCTTCCACTGAAGCATTACTCTAGTGACAGATACATAAGCAAAAATAAGTTGAAACCGGGTGAAAAACACTGAAGGCAGACATAGCATTATCAGAGGTATAGCAAGCCTCATTTAAGATATTGGAAAACTCAAACATATCTACTGTAACTTCAGGACTATGATCAAAGTGGTTCAGCAAGAAATCTGGTATCCTGACAGAATCTAGGAGAGATGCATAAAAAGACTGAACACAGCAACAACCAAAAAAAAACAACTCTGAATTTCTATTTAAAATTGCCTGTACTGAACACACAGGAGGAATCCTAAGGTGACTACTCTCATTTAAGTGCTTCTGTGAAGTACTTAAAATTAACTTATGTAAGTCTGGACCATATAATTTGGCTAATTTTGCTTAGAAAGTTGCAAGGCTGGAAGGGACATGATTTCATGTTCACAAATCCCTAGGGTTTGTAAACTATGAAAAGGATAAAATGACAACACTGATGTAGAAACAACTATCTACATCAAAATGTAAACTAGGTGTCAAGAAAAGATTCTTGGCTATCAAAAGAGAAAGATTTTAGAGTAACATTTTAATGAGAGTAAGAGGAAAAGCAAAAACAGCTTTTTGGATTGAGTGTGATTGTTTTTTGGAGACAAAAGTATGGTGTAATATTCAATTTAGTTACCGATGAATATTAATTACACTTAAAATTAATTAAAATAAACAACAGACAGTTTTACAGTTTTTAGAAATGTCCATATGCTGGCAACTCTCAGCTTATGAAATTAAGTAGAACATTTAATGATATAATGATTAAGAGCCACATACATGAAAGTTCAGTGGTTCTCACCACTTGACAGTAGAGTGATACTATTCAAATGAAACCATGGGTATATTTGAGGATACGTGCTTTTATTGCCATTATATCACTGGATATTTACAGAGTGAGGCCTCGGGTTTATATCACTGATATAAGAGCAGTAACAAGGTGTAGTAATTCATTAATGTGCTGCTTTGTTTTTAAGAACACAAAGAACACAATGCCCAATTACTAGTTAGTTGTACCTCATCTTTTTTTCTGTCTTCAATTTTTGCTCTAGAGATGCCAGTTCTTTTGCATATATCTCCTTTGATATTCTGGGGAAAAAAGAAAAAAAAAAAAAAAGAAACTTTCAGAAATAATGCTGAACATTTGCAGAGCACTTTATCTCAAATTTTTACTGGAGTTTTTCAAAATTTCCTTCCCACCAATCAGCCTTCAACACTTGCAAGTTGGAGATAGTACCTGTAGGTCATATCTCAAAAATACATACATACTAATGTTCAACCATAGCTGTGTGTTACATATTGTTTCTTTGGTTAGAAACATCAATTTAAAATTAAGAGTGTCCTGATAGGAACCAAGGAAAATCCAGGAGACCTTTTCCAAGTCTCCTGGATTTCCAACAATATGGATTTCAGAAACAATAAACAAATCCAAAAGCACAAGAGTAGATGTTTCAGAAATGAACAATTATTCTAATGTATTAGTAGTAAATAGTAAAGAAGAGTATGTTCAGAAGTAGAACTTCCAGACAGATGCACAAACATATTTTAAATTCTTAGTATGCATTTTTTAGTGTATTATGTGTGGTAAAAATTAAAATGCATGAATTTAATATGTATTCAACACATTCCAAGAGAGTTTAATACAACAAAAAAGGTCAGCAGTGTGAAAACAGTGATTTTCACTCCTTCAAGACACAAATGTGATGGGAAGCACCTGCTCCAAACCCTAGAAGCATTTACAAAGAGGTGGTATAGGAGTTTCTTCTAAAGGTCTTATTGTTCCAAATGCAAAACTTACAATTATCAAACCAGCATTCCAAGACATTTCAACAGTAGTGAGATGTGCCCCAAATAATTCTTTGGTGGTCCTGTAAAATTGACTGGGAGGTCTGTGTGTTGTATGTTGAAATAAAATTATTTGGGACTTGATATATCGAGATACTCTTTCTCAGGAGGCCAGTGAAGAGTCAAACAACAAGGCTACTATGTACAAACATAAAATAAAAATCTAAAGAAGTATGACAGGGACTGGGAAAAGGGGATTTTTCAATTAGTTTTTTTAAGACGTCAGAGCTGTGGTACATTTTGCATAGTTTGATGCACTCCAGTTTAAAAGCCTGAAATTAAGAGTTGATTGACTCTGGGAGAGTCAATCCCTTAAAACCCTTTCCTTTCCATCATTAGTGTAGATATCCAATTAGTGTCAAGATATTACGTGATGATTATTCACCTCAGTATACTTTAAATTTAGTTTTATATGCTGTAGACTACATTGCACTTCACTACAAGTTCTCGTCCTCTTCAGCAGTGTATGGCTACCTCATGGTCTTATTTGCATTCCCCATTTACATGGCAACAATATCTCCTTTGCCAGGAAAAATGAAGAAGACACTGCTCCTATCAAAATAGAAACGTACTTCTTTTCCTGCAAAGCAGAATGAATGTATTGTATGTTTTCGTGTTCAGTATGAAAAGGGAGGTGAGCAATTCTTTTCTCACATTTCATCTATAATTATATTCATAAGTAGGACAACTCCATATTAACAAAAACATTCCTCAGGAGGATTTAGAGAGAGAACAGAAAGACCCTAGGAGCACAGCCCCTCTAGTGCCACACTATGAAATGCTGCACAGAACCAGGACAACTGGTGGCACTCAAAATACAGAGTATATGCAAACATTTGGCACTGCTATGTTTGGGGGACATTAATTGGCCGAACCTTTTCCCTTTACCTTGCAAAGGATGACTCTCCAGCAAAGAGAAAAAGAAAAGCTCTCCCCTTTGCCAGGATTACCCTTCTGACATGAGAGAATTTGATTATTAGGGTAGAACGTTCAGCCTTCCTGTCCTGATTCTCTAGCAAATAGGCAAATTGGATCCAGTGCAGGATGTCTGGGGTCAGTACACATGGGCATGCCCTCATGTATCGCAGCAAAGTCCAAAATCTCTTCTACCAGCTACAAGCTAAGAGAGAGTGCTTTGGCCATGCTCCTTCCAGCCATATGCTACTGCATAGGGCACAGGAAATCTGTTGTGCTCTGACCACACACCCAAAGATTTATTTTTTGGGGCACTTGTTCATGGTGCAAATCTGTGCTTATTTAGATTTCTCTGAGTAAAAGCATATTTTCTCAGATACAACCATCAAATGGTAGTGGCTTGGACCAGGACTTGGTACCGCCATATGGAGTTTGCAGTCGCAACCACTGTTTGTGAAGTTTCACACACTGCACTGTATTCGTTGTTATTTGTGTATGCCTCACCTGGCGATAAGAAACCACAGACTGACTTGGAATAACTGGCAGCTGTATGAAGTTTCACACCAGCCTGCTTGTATAGTTCATAAAGCCATTTAGCTTCCTTACTGAATGTTACATTTCAGAATCTCTCACACCAGCTTTGCTCCTGAGTAAATGGCACTGAAATCATTTACTATTGTCAATATTGAGAGATTACATACAGCAGGCTGTCTTCAAGACTTTTGATTTCCATCTCTAGGTTCTTCTTTTCCACCACAAGATTTGCCAGAAATTCAAGCTTTTCATTCAACAAAGTGGATAATTGCTTCGATCTACCAGAAGAAAACAAAAAAATGTTAGATTCTTCATCAGAAACATGATCTCACAATGTAGCAAGAAAAGCATTAGTCATAAAATGACAAACTTAAAATATCTGTATCCAAAAGCTGACAGCTGAAACCTACTTTGCCTCCATCTCGTCCCTTTTTCTAGCCCAGTGTTTTTCTTCTTTCAGTGCTTGTTCAAACTTTTGGCGCGCAGCTTTATTTTCCGATTTAAGTTTTTTATTCAGGCATTCAGCATTCTGTAGATACTCCTTAGCCTAGAAATAAGGACATGCGTATTGTAGAATAAGGGCATGCAATATCAAAGTGAATGGAAGTCATGGGTCAGGGCTGAAGGAGAATGGGCAGGAAGACAAGAGAGAAAGGAGGTAGGAAACAGGTGACTGGGGTCCTGGATTGTGGCAGCGGGAGTGCAGTAAAGTGCAAGGGAGGTGTGTATGGGATGGGGAGAATGTGGCTCCCACCTAGCACTGCCTAGTGCCAGCAGGGCAGAGATTTTAATGGACTGATACCTTTTCAGACATGTGCATATCTGGAGAAGAGTTCATGAACGTAACTTGCAAACCAGCCCCAGAAAGGTGTGTGTAGTCTGCATAACAATAGTCCTAGGCAGCTGCCCTTCCTTCCTTCACAGCTCTGGCAGATGGGGTGCCACCACTAGTGGCTTTTTCCACACAGGCAATATAAATTAATAACAATCCAAGGAATCATAGAGTAAATCAGCAAGAATCGCTACGAGAACTCCACATGCAACTTTCCAGACCAGGATACCATTCTCATCCTTGTAAGCAAATCTCACCACCACTCTCCTACATCCATCTACCTGCCCATTCTTATTGCATGTATACTCCCTCCCAAATCAACATCCTAATCTCACAACCCTCTTTATTTCACTGCATTGCAGCTCACAAGACCACACCTTCAGGTTCACACCCACCTCTTAGTGCCACTTAAGTATCTCAACACCTGCCCATGGTCTCAGCTGAAGAGCAGATCTCACCACTACCTCCAGCACTAGCCCCAGAGTCCGGAGCAGAAGGCTACTGCATGTCCTGCAAATGTTTGTGCCTCTTCTACCTGCTTGCACCCATCAAACACAGAGGTATGGCCAAATCAAAGCACCTAAAGCATTTCAAGACGCACTTTGCATAGGCCTGTTATTGAAAGTTTTCTCGGGACCTAGCCTAGTAAGAACTCTGAGCCAGAATAAAGATCTCTTACCTTTTCAAGTTCCTTATCAAAATCTTCTTTTTCTTGTGCAATTTTTGATTGTAAAAGCAGTAATTCAGAATCAAGCTGATTTCTATTAAACAAAGTCAACATGGGCATATTTAGGGGGGTATTAACACAAGATTATTAAAAATTATGCATTCTTATTCTCAGGCCCCTCATGTGAATGTAAGTTACATCAACGTCTGCATGCTTTTGAGCTCTATTCCATTCAGATATCCTTATTCATTACTTCCCTCTAATATATCTGATGAGAACAAAACCTGGAAAGAAGGTAAGGACATACAGAACTACTAGGCTCTCTATTGCTAGATCTTAAAAGACAAGCCAAAGAAGGCTTGTGGGCAATATTTTCTATACACAAACTGATAGAAAAAGTACTCAAAGAGCAAGCAGGCAGGCCTTCTTTATTTACCAATAAATCCTACCAGCAACAATCTACAGGTTAAAAATGTGAAATTTGAGCATGGATTTACAATTCTGATGTACATTGTGCAAGAATGTTTTAGTGGATGCAGTCAGTACAAGTGATACTCATTTCCTTTGCCTACTATACAAACTGGGAGCCATGCAAGAAGCACTAGTCTACCTGAAGTGCTTCAAGAAAGGAATCTGATACAGAGGAAGAGAGGAGAAGCAGCTATGGAGCTAGCCTGGATAATGCTCAATTGAGGATCTCCACACTGAGCTCCACGTGTGTAGTAAACAAGCCCATAGAATGACATTCAGGTTATTTTGCTTATTCACATCATTTGCTACACTTTGCACCTCAGGGAACATACAGAAAAAAATAGTCTCTATGCCATAGCAAATAAGTATTCTGGCTGACAGGAAGATGATAGCATGTGCAGAGAGCAACAGCTGACACAGCCACCACATACACTGTATAACTGAGCATAGCTCTAGTGCAAAGGGCACTGTTAGTGAATATTTGTTCCCTGATAGCTAATTCAGATTAACCCCAGCTATCTTCTGAGTCTTTATGGCATTCCCACTGAAGCTAATAGAAATGTATTTATCAAGAGACACCTTGGATTTGTTAGCTATTTTACAGTATAAATAATTCAGATGCTTTATAGAGCATGGCTAGTGCAAAGCTTTCCAGTGAAAACACTGATGCAGGTAGAGAAGAAAGATCAAATCAAATCATCTAATAATTCTTACTTCTTTTCCAAGACTCCCAGCATGTCTCTCTTTTTAAATTCAATTTTTTCTTCCAAATGCTCACTCTCTTTTTTCAGATTTGCTATGAGATTTCTCTCGTTACATATAGCCTATGAAGAAAAAAAAAAGAAAAAGCAAGAAAAAGCAGACTACACCAAAATAAAATAATTTTTCAAAACAGCAGATAATGAATCCCTTTACTACCACTGGTCTTTTTTAATAATGGTATTTCATAACATCTGAATGAGATTCTCCTCTACTATTTTCTAGCTAGTCTGAGATTTCATAGCCAAAATTTCTACTGCCTGCAAAGCAAGAATGCTGAAGAAACAGTGGTTAAGGCTGCATTTATTGCATTTAGTCACTTAGAGGGGTTAAAAATAAATAAATCAATGCAGGTTGGTAAGATAAGAAACTTCCAAAAATAAGCCTGTGAAATCTGTCTTTTAAGGGCACCTCAATGCACAGTTCTGTTATTTTCACTAATGTGATAGGCAGAAACGACTGTTACTGGAAAGGCAGCAATGCTTCTAACAGACGTTGGCAAAGCTAGGGCAGAAAATTATGCTTTAGTCTCAGTTTGGATCACCTTATCACACACGTCTTAAGTTTTGTCGTACGGCTGCTATCAGTAGTGCTCATGTAACTCAGCAGATGTTAAACTGAACGCACACAGTTTGAGCTAGCACTGTAAGAAATCATAAAAGGAAAGATAAGGACACTGATCTTTCCTTACGTTTCTCTCATAAATTATCCCACTGGAAAGGGAAAAGCAGGTCCAAAGTAGGCAGGGTTGATCTGGAAGCCAATATTAAACGGAAGACAAAGAAAGCTTAGTTGTTTTTAGCACTATAAGCTTTCACTCTCCACATCTTGAGCCTTCTTAAAGTTATCATGTCCACCACTGTGGACTGCCTTGCTCTAGTCAGTGCATTCATATAAAGTTCTGTGCAACCATCACCACGAGCTCCTTGCTCATTCCAATTTCTTCAACACCTTCCAATGCAAACCCTTTCACAACAGTTGAGAAAAGTCTTTTCTAAATTTCTTCCCCTTATGTCAGCCTTGAACTACTATAATTACCTTTTTTTTCACATTTGTGCCCACCAAATATCTCGACTGTCATTTTTCTTTTTCAGCTAGCTCCAAATAGCTGACTTGAGGGCCAAGTAATCCTCTCACTGAACCCTGCCCCCCTCCCTCCTTTTTTCTCCTTTTTTTTTTTTTTTTAAGTTCCCCATAAGTCTGTCCTGATGAATAAATTGACCAGCACAGAGAGTAGCAAACTATTTCATTAAATTGGTAAAAAATCATTCTATATGGATCTTCTATTTTAACAGAGATTTACAAATGAGAAATTAGTCAATAATGCCAGTCAATTAGATACCGTATAAGCTTGTTTTTCTTCTTAAAAGGTAGTTGGTATTTCACTGTAAATTCCCCTCACTTTGACTAGTTATGAAAATTAAATTTTGATCTTTGCACTAACAATGAACCAAAACTATTTTGCATTTAACTTACTGTTGAAGTCAGACTTATCAAGTGTTGTAGGTCCATTAATTTTATATTCAATTTTTCAAATTCATCCTTTTTTGCTGAAGTTTTTGCCTCCTGAATATCAAGCATGTTTTTCATTTCCCTGTTCTACATTAAAAATAATACGATTAATTCACCCTGAGCAATTAGCTATGCATTGTTTAAAATTTAATACTAAAGCATCTGGAGCCTTCCAAAATTAACCAAGCACTAAATTTACAGTGGAAGAAAAAAATATGTAAAAAAAAAAAGAAAACACAGCTATGTACCTAATGAGTAAATTCTTTAAGAAAAAGAAACAATAATTAATAAAAGATGCAAATTAGGATCTGTTCTCTCAAAAGTTTTTGTGATTTTATTTCAGTGTAGGAAACAGATTATACCATCCTAGGAACACAGCTACAGTTCTGTTCTGCAGAAAAATGTTTTCTACTTGGAAGTTTTCTTTTAATCTATTCATCTATTTTTATGTTAGCATTCAGAAACGATACCAAATATATGCAACTGAAAGTAGGGCAGGATAAAATAAATAAATAAACAGTGAAAACTTATCACAGAGTTTGCTAGTAAATATAGGTACCTTTATTTTAAGAAGTGTGTCTGGAGGGGTGAAATTCCAGCATATGATTATTTATCCTACACCCAGTAAAAACAACCAGTACAGACATGACATCCTGAGATGCACTACTAGGAAACAAATTCCATATACCATTTGATTTTGATGTGCACGTTTGTGTGTCTACATATACACCACACACACACGAATACACAAGCACATGTATGCAGAAGTCAAAAGAGTCAGTTTGTGCATGTGCACTCCCAATGACAAGAGTCATTTTTGTGTTTGGCTGCTATGGAGATCTAAGTGAGCTCCGTATGAGAAAGCTAAACCCAACACTCAGCACAAATTCAAAGAGCATTTCATTTTTGGCACTATATAACCATCTGTAAAACTGAAATACATTTCAAAACCTTTACCTTTTCATCACATTCTTCATTCTCTTTCTCAAGTTTACTGATTTTTTCACCTATTTTTTCTTTTAATTCCTGTAACGCTGCCTTTGCCCTGATTATTTCTCTTTCTGTCTCCCTTGTTTTATTGTAAGTCTCAATTAACAGAACATTTGTGTTAATTTTTGTTGCCATCCTTTCATTCAGCAAGTCTACTCTTCTTTTATGCTGTGTCTGCAAGTATTCTTGTTCCTCACTGGAAAAAAATAAAATAAAAATGCATATAATACTTCCTACTATTCATTCCGATATTTGGTTCAAATGTTTGTTGAATTCAATACTTTCCTATCCATGTGTTAGTAACTCTGTTCATGCTATAGCCCTAAATATATAAAGGGCTGGCACCCACTGGCACCATCTAAGACTTTTAATTATAATGGAGCAGCTTTCATTTATTTATTGTGATAGTTATGCAGTTTTACTTTTTCCAATGTGATTATTTTCCATGAGTTTTATTAAAAATGGAAGGGCTGTTTTCAGGCACTAAACGAATGAAGAAGACTTCCCTTAAGAAAATGCATTGTGGCTTATTTTTGAACAGCTCTATAGCAGCATGCCAGAAGGTGACAGTAACATGAAATCTGGCAGGGAGAAAACAACTATCTCCCAAGTCTCTGTATCCTCTTCAGATAAGTCTTGAAGAGGGATCTCTATCACAGTTACTGATTCAGAGTCCCTTCCACATTATTTTTTTTTTCAAACCTGCCAATTACAATCTTCATACTTGTTCCTTAACATAAATTGCTGAAAGAGAAAACTCTCCCTGCCAGCGTGAGAAGCAAAGCTGCAGCCAGTTTTCTCTGAGCAAGCTTATCAGGGCCACAGGGGGCAGGCAGCAGCAAGCAGGCTCTGCTGTTCAAGAAACAAGATCTTAAAAATCAGGCTTGCTTTGCTGCTGCAGCGAAGAATTGCCTAGAAACATTTGCGGCTAGCTGCAGGGGTGAGGGACAAGCACTACTCACCATGTTTTGATAACATTTCAATTCGCCTTAATCATCTTGCCAGTATGGTTTTCCTTGTTCAAATAAATACATACCACAGTGCAGCATTCTGTCTTTCACAAAGGGTTTGCTTCTCATCCAGCAATTCAATTTCATAAGCAATGCTCTTCAATGCAGACTGCAGCTGATTTATCTGAGCAGCACTAGATTCGCGTGCTGCATTAACAAGAGCTACAAAATAAATAGCAAACACACAGAAGCCTCTTAGATATAAAAAAAGGCATATCAGAGGTAATGCATAAAGGGATTGATTCATAATCTTTAGCTCACTACTATAGATACTGTCACCTGGCAAGGGATAGCTGTGATTCTAGGACACTCACTCAATAACATCCCCTAAATCACACACTTTATTTCAGCCTTTTAGTCTTATCACATTTTCCCTAAGTCATCTGCATCTATCAACAAGAAAAAGTCTGCTGTGTTCTCAGAGAACAATTGCTCTTTTTCATATTATATGTCTACAAAATTCCCTAGACGTACAGTGAGCTGATAAAAATTACTTCACTGAAAAAAACAACTATCTCCTGCACAACCAGCCTTAGCAGCCAGGGAGAAGGAACAGGAACACCTTGCTCAATATTCAGCAGCATTTCTCCTCAAAGAGCCACAGTTTTGTGAAACTGAAGAGCCTGCATGAAGAGGTGCTGTGGATAAAGCTCTTCTGTGCATGGGCGTTGTACTACAGCATCCTTTCAGCTTCAGAGATAACAGCCACGTTAGTGTACATCCACCCACACAAAAAAACACTCGGTGCAGAATGGCAGCAGCTAGTCCAAACAGCCGACTGCATAGCAACCAGTGCTATAGGCAGAGAGAGGTGAGGGAGGAAACTTGCTGTAAGAAACTAACCAACAAACACAGAATACAGATGGAAAAAAAATACCAAAGCTCTGGCTGCTGTTTCACAATGAATCTGAAGCTGATATAACTCCATAGTACACCAAAAGAAGTCCTGCTCCCCCTGTCTCATTGCCATCCCTCCTCCTGAGCCCCCACACCTATAACCATGCAGCCTCATGGCTATCCAGATACACAAACTCAACTCCCTTGCTCCTCCCCAAAAGAAGAAATCTCAGTATTCATCTAGATCAGATACTTGACCACTGTCCTTTGGGACTACAGTGCAGTTAGAAGGGAGGTAGCAAAGCATGCCTTGGCATATTCATCTCAAAAATGAAACCACATCTGAGGAAAAAAAAAACAAAACAACAAAACAAACAAACAAACAAAAACAAACAAAACAGAGAAATAAAGCTCAATATTTATTTTCTTCTAGACACCTGCTATTGTTTTAGCATCCCTTCATAGCCAGTGGAGAGAATGAGGCACTTCTAGTTCATGATTCTTCTGACTTCTTTTAAACATCTATTCTAGGATGAGATGACTCATGCCTCCAAGTGCCTCTTTCTCTTCACCAACCATATGAGCCAGTTGATTAGCATTTGGCCAGATGAAACCCACCCAAAAGTAATGTCATATCATTGTGAACCCTACAGGAGGGAATTCACAGCACAGAGCACTCAAGTGCTCTATTGCAAGTACCAGAGACAGGCTGTAGCACAGCTGGGATCAGAACTGAATGCTGCCGTTCCCCAGTCACTCCTCCAGTGCTCATGCACAGTCTTCAGTGGAGATGTTTCTCATTTACACTGTTTTGTAAGAGAATAACCCCTTACGGTGTCACCCACATTTTTTCATTAAGAAGTTACCGAAAGCAATTTACCTTTAGCGGTAAGATTCATTTTATAGAATACTTCAAACATGTTTAAATGTATAGAAAATTCAATTCTCTCCTTTTTCACAGCTGGTTAGGGCAGTACTACCTGTCATCTCTGCAGTGATCTCTCTTGGAAAATTCTGCAATCTGAAGCGAAGATTGCTGTTTTTTATAGTCTCTTCTTCTAGGCATTCAATGGTGTGCCTTCGAATTTCTTCCTAACAATTAACAAACCCATAAATGAGAACTAATACAACAGCTGATGAAAAAGCACTTCTTCCTTAAAAAACCATTTTTTTTTCATATTTGTTTTTAAGCTATTTCATATTGAATATTTTTCACATCTAAATACTTTATTTCCCTTCCTCATACTTGCTCTTTCCTCCTTTCTTCCACACTTCAAAATAACAAGTAACTTCTTTTACAGGTAGCTGACCAAATCTACATATCTCTAGAAACTTTTGGCTTCTGGCTGTTAACACTCTTGAGGAAGCTGTTGCCCACGTCTCTGCTGCAAAAGCTGAGGTAGCAGGGAAGATTTTAGCTGTCAGCTTCTGCCACTGTGAATGAAGAGTGTTATTAAAGCAACAGAAGAGCCTTATTTCCATGTGGCCTGAAGCTATACTGAAGAACGGAGACCATAGCTGGCCTTCAGAAACACCAGAAAGTCATCTGCTGGTTCATAATTGCTGGTACAAGAAGGGTCACTTAGGGTGAAGGTGGAGCAAGAGAAAACCTGAAGACTGCATTAATGGTGGGAGGAGCCCTCAAACAACTGAAAAAAAAAAAAAAAAAAAAAAAAAAAAAAAAAAAAAAAAAACCACAAAGTTTTGTGACTGAGAATTGTCAGTGGATTGATAAAACCCCCTAATGTCTGGGAAAATATATCAGTTCTTAAATAGATGCTGCCAAGGGCACCAGAGCTTATGCATAAAACTAAACCTATCTTTCTCCTTCATTTTTACTAGCAGTTAAAATCACCAGCTAAGACACTGTAGGAAGAAATGATGCTGTTGAATTTTGCTGTCTGCAGAGCAAATTCTATATGCATGCATATAAATTACTAGCCCTTCCTTGAGAAGATGAAATATTTAGAGATATATAATAAATGTGTAGAAGGTTTTTAATTTCATATGAATTACATCCTCAATTAGCTGAAGCAGTGAGAAAGAAAACAGCTTTATGATTTCAGCATGTTATGTAAAACACTCATAAGACTCATGCAGAGCTGGTCTGAAATAGATGATTTAGAGGTCTACTGAAGGAGAAAGGAGAGTTTTTACAAGATTTACACCTACCTAGACAAACACGTTATGGAGATACTTGTTAAAAAACCTGCTTGAAGCTATTCTGGCTTTAATGACCTCTGAGGTCTTACAGCAAAAGTTAGTTACCCATGAACAGCCACCCTTAGCTGATAATTGCTGTAAGATCTCTTACTACCATACACAATGCAGTTGTCTCAAAGAAAGGCTAGCTGTTCCACAACAATCCCTTTGGACCTGGTTGGCAGGCAAACCACCGTCTTGCTGGACCCTGTACCATCTGCTGAATTCACTGAGATCACTGGGTGTATCCTCCCAGTATCCCCAAGAAAGAATCATTCAATTTCTCCCTTGCACAGACAGCATTAAGGCCCTTATGATGAAAAAGGCTCCATACAAGCTTCCTTCAGGTGATTTTTGTGATGCTGCTATGAAGCCAGTGTTGGCCTAGAGCTTCCATCTCTTGAGCAAAAGCAACCTATGAAGACAGGACAGAGCTTGGAACAAACTTCTACCCCGAGTCCTAACTTACTCTGCTGAGTATAAGACCCTTCCTCTTTTGACTTCAGCACAAGTCTGGGTAGGCCTCAAATTTCACTAGCCCCTAGTGAGAAAGGCATCTACTGTTCCCACACTGAAATGCCAGTAGGTGAGCTGAGGCTTGGACCAGTTGTGTGATCTGCTCCACTCAGGTTGGTTTGTTCAATTACAGCCACGCTTCTGCAGGCAGCAAAGTGTGTGTGGGCACCCTCCCCCAAACTTCACCCCAAACCACCCCTGTCTCTTGTGAGGTAGAATATAACTTACATAAAAAAATACTCATAAAATTACAGCCCTAAAAGACTGATCTGATGGTTACAAGTGATTTATTTGCCATATATCTAAAACTAAGCATGATGTTTTCTTACCAATTTCTTAATAGCAGTAATAGTATCTTCAAGATGCTGCACAATTTCCCCACTGAATGTATAGTCTTCATTTTTCACGTGTTTTTCTAAATTGAAAATACAGTAAAATAAAAATGTATGGGTTTTAAGGTTCAAGCATTGCTTTATTGTGCTGTGAAAATAACTCTGATGTGAAGGATTTTTGATTTAAAAGTATTTGCTGAATCACTTTTGCCCTGTTCTTAAGTTGTCAGTGTTTTTCACACTTCTCCTTGTGCACAGAATAGGCAAATGCACAAATGGCATATGAGGTCCATGGGACTTGATAAAATTTTTAGTCATAAAATGGTTCCAAATTAAATTCTTCAGAAATAATCTTTTAAAACAGTAATTGAGGGAAGTTCAGGGGCTATTAAACTACAGTAAAAGTTGTGGATCAAAATAATTTCCTGTTAAGTAGGGTGTAGCTTATCTTTAGAATTTTTCCAAGTAGCCATGGCTTCATTATGTCTCTTTCCAATCAAAAATACTAATCTGGATTCATCAAAGTCTGAAGTGAGATTTATGTTACTACAGAGGTACTCTTTTTATCATTAAATTTAATTTAGTTTGAGCTAGAATAACAATTGCCCAGAGAAGCTGTTCTTCCCTGGAGATATTCAAAAGCCATCAGGACACAATCCCAGGTAATGTGCACTAGGGGACGCTGCTTGAGCAGGGAGGTTGGACCAGGTATCTCCATAGGTTCCTTCCAACCTCAACCATTCTGTGATTTGAATTCATCCTAAAGATAGTTGTACCTGTTACAGTGGCATAACATTTTTTTATACCCTCATTTTGTAAAAGAGACTAAATCCACATGGGGATGGGGGAGTGTGGAGAAAATAAATACTTAATCTAAGCATAAGTGAATTTGGAGTGAAGACAAGACAGTCACCCTGCTGAGAAGAGAGCTCTGTTTTTAGTTTGACTTACTGACTTGTTGTATACTGGCAACTGTCTTATTTCACTAGGCTCTTTATCCTGAATTAGTGTAAACAAAGCCCATGTGCAGCCACTACCCCTGCTTTACCTGCCTATCTTCAACACCTGACGATGATCACCTATCAGTGTGGCACCTTCTGTAACTTATGGCTCTCAGTAGGAGAGATGTCAGAAAACAAACCTATGTATTTAGCAAGCAGTAGAGTGGGTTGTTTAAGGGCAGAATTGCCCCAGTTTTGTCATTTAGTAGTAATTCTAGACAATTCTTTCTAATGACAGCAGTCTGAAACCACAGTCTTTTTACCATCTTAAAATCAACAGAACTATTAGCTATTTTCTTCAGAAATATAATTTAGGGCACATTGTGCAAAAATAAAAAATCCATGTTAAAATCTATGTTTTACTTGTGAAGGTGTTTTTTTTTTTGTTCGTTTGTTTGTTTTGTTTTGTTTTTCCTCATCCTTTAGGTCATCTCTCTTCTAGACAGCCTCTTGATTTCTTTTTATCTATTTGATTTTCTCTTTTGTTATTTTATTTTCTCCGTCAAAATCTGTTTCCTAGATGAAAGACCTCCTTCAGAAAAAAATGATGTGATAAAGCATTCAGATGTTTTCAATTTCCTCCCATGTCAGTTAGTAAACCAAAACTAAACACCAAATGTAAGCCGACATTAGTGATGTATAGTTTCTCATATACAGCTTTTCTATCAAAAAAATGATCCTTCTGAAAAGTCTTGCCTTTTTTTTTTTCTTACATGCTGCTCCCAAATTCACCCTTTTATGACACCTACTTCACTTCCAAAACTCTTTTCATCAAACCTTTCAGCCTTTTAAAAGTGTCAAGCAAGGTGACATGTAAAAAATGTCAGCTATCTATTTTCAGCCCCTCTCCCGACCTCTCTCATTCAGTGCCACAAGCACAAGCTTCTCACTCCAAAACAGCATCAGTCACAGTTTATCCCCTCCACACAGCAGTGTCACTGCTTTGTCACACCTGAAATCCCTCCTCAAATCCCCTGGTTTCTTAGGGCACGTGATGGACTGAAGCCTGGCAGTGGCCAGGAGGGCAGAGTACTGTGACCACAGGCATTCACTGGTGGAGTATTTCCACATCAAATTAGATCTCTTCCTATGGCTTATGTCACTCCAAGCCATTCGTCTCATCTGTGCATGGCTTTTTCTGACCTCTAGGTTTTAAGCTCTATTAGGAACATTATATTTGTACAGCCTTTGAAACTAAGCTGTTGAGATAATGCCCTAAAACAAATCTCAGAAGTAATGGGGGAGCTCAGGCCCTTGTTCCCTCATCTGACAGCTCAAGCTTCCAAAAGTGAGTTTTTGCGATATACATCCGTAACCACAGGCTGTGCCCAATCCTGGCTATTTATAAGAAACCAGTTTTGATAGACAAAAATAACTTTCCATCACAGTTAAACAGACTTGACAGCAATGGAAAGTTTTGAATGTTCTGAAATCGGAAAATTTGAAGTGATAACCAGAGGCAATGTCCCCCAGCATGGTATCCATCCTTTGGGATTGCTCA